TCCATCTAGCCTCGGCTACAGGAGGTGGGCTCGCTTCCCCTCTCCCTTGAGGTCCTGATTTACTTCTTGACTCTCTCGGTTCCATCCCTGGTTGTGGTCTTTCATCTTCATGATGTTTCTCCCCTTCCTACCCCACCTCGCTTAGGCGTTGGTATGGTCGGCAACCCCTTTTCTACCAACAGCAGACGGCCGGGACTACAGTTGCAGTAGGAGAGAACAGCCTTCAGGCTTCGGTCGATCTCTCCATTCTCTTGCTCCCCTAAGCGGCTGCCTAGTCGGACACCAACGCGATTACCGATAGCTGTTGCTCACGGACTTGGGTCTACCCCTCCTCTTCTCTTTGGGGCCTCTTTGGCTGGCAGGTGGTGGGATCCCTTCCACTACAGTGACGCTATCTCTGCCAGAACAAGGGACTACATGAGAGACGCGGTAAAACACCTGCTTCGCTTAGGGCTCCTCTCCACAGTCGGATCGGCTGCTACCCTACTACCACCTCCTCTCAACCTGGCACCTTACTGCCTATATCGTCGGTTGTCCCGGAGGACACTCGGTCGCTGGCACGCCTCCCACACACCTCCTCTCCTCGCTTCTCGGTCGGCGCCTTCGGGGTGGTTTCCCTTATACCCTCTGTGCCCGGGACTTCGGCTCCCTCCTCCGGGCCCTCGTCATATGGCCTAGGGGTTCCTTTTATAGGATTTTGAGTTGTGGCCATTGGCCTCTAGTGGGTTCGGTTTGGGTTTCTGCCTTTAGGTGTTTCGCTCCTGGGGTTTGGCGTGTTCTTGGTTCACTGTTGGGTAGCTAGCTTTCATTTGTCGCTTGGCAGAGGGGGTTATTGGTTTGTGGTCTACGGGAAGGATTTCGGGCGGGAGTAGTTTTTTCTACCCCAGAGGGTTTTTTTAGCTCCGTCGTTCGGCCTGGTCCGGGGAGGAATGGGTTTTTTGTCTTCATAGCTAGCACTCCATACGTTTTTTGTACCCTAAACAAATAATCAATGAGTTAAACAAAAAAAAACAAAATCCTTAGCTTTCAGAATCATCAGCAAACGGAGAAGAGATCTTATCAATATATTCGTTATACTTTGATACCTACTTTTGTTACGAGCTTTCTTGACCACTCTCCGAGAAACCTTATTGGTCCCAGCTACAATTTGCTTGACTTAGAATTGGCTGCCGCCTAACAGATGTGTCTATTAAAAACCCTGCGGCAGTGCAGGCCATTCTCATTGACAGGTTTTATCTTGTAGAGGTTTTTTTTTTAATTTTTTTATTTACAAGGTAGGAGGATATAATGGATTAAAAAATGCTTAAAGTCTGGTACAGGTTTTGGAGTGCACGAACCATAGTTTCCGAATTTCCCATTTATAAAGATTGGTTAAGATAAATTCTCGTGGGGTGCAACTAACTATACATGAGGCTAGTATCAAGTGAGGTATTTTTATAAAGTTAGGATACGCATAATAGGCACTTCAGGTCTAGGCTTGTTATCCAGGGTTGTTGGTGGTACTTTGTTTCTCCTCCCCAATAAAGTCTAGAAACACCTCACCCTACAATCCCACCCTACAGCTTACCAATTCAAGCCCCCCTTGGACCTCTATCTGTCCCTAGGTTTCCGGGCCAAGAGTTGATACCACTTTCTCAATAGTCCTTGCTCATCGATAGAAAGTGTAGTATTAAAGCTGGTTCAAAAGCGTTAGATACACCTCCGTCCTGTAACGATCGAGGAAATCGGGAATATTGAGTCATATTCCCTACGACTAAGACCAGATAGCGCTATCTACCACTACTAGCAAACTTACCATCACCTCCACAGGGCTGAACCAGCAGTAGGTTGACATGAATAGTGGTACCAAAATGACCAACTAGCTCTTGGGGTATGTACTCACACTCGAAACCCGGCAGTAGTCACTTAAATCAGTGATATCACTCTCAGGGATGCTAGTATCTTTTGCCGTCGAAGCAGTCTTTTAGATGTCGGTAGTCCTATCGCAACCAGTCAGCCGAAGTACAGGGTGATCTGATATGACCATCGAGCTGATACATCTCGTAATGCCATCTCCGGTTCTAGAGCTGTTCATGTCATTCAGAGGTCTCTAGTAATTCTTTTTAACATGGCCAGCTCACATGCTTTGGAACCCGCTCCCAATTGTGCCTACCCACTAGAAACTAAGTTTTGTTGGGTGCTATGTTGTACTAGATTTGAAGAGCCACCTCAGCCGTCCCCCGGAGGGCGCTACTGCCGGGAGCGGTAGACAACTAAGATGGATTTAGGTATTAAGCTAGAAATCGAGAGGTTCCGAACCAGGCTACAACTTTACTATCAGTCATATCAACAATATATCCAAGACAGCTAATAACAGAGATTGTTGCGGGAAAATGATCCCGAATTGGGGGGGAACTTAAGAAGACAGAAAATGCTTGGCAGCCAGGCAAGGAGGTATTGGGCCTGTGATAACCCCGAAAATGGTAGGGTAGGGCATAGCACGTATTACTTTTCTGTGGTTCTGCTATCTGTTTTCCAATTGGGCCTGAAAGAACTCTACTTCTCTACAGCCACGAGGGCTGCGGCAGGGGGAGGGCACCTGGAAATAGAAACGTAAATGTAATGCAAATCTTATTGCAAGAATATTAATGGAAGTTTGTGAACCGACCTTAGATTCCCCCAGGAGAGATACGCTATCAGCAATACCTCCCGGGGGTGAGCGCGAACGGGGGTAGGGGGCAGGGCCAATTCTAGCTCTAAGCATTTACCTGGGGGTGAGGGACACGGAATACATACCAGCATTGCAATAGAGCTAATGTGCTAGAAGATATAGGTCTTATACTACCGATGGTGGCCGAAATGGTCTGCGCAGATGCAAGAATTCACCCCCTTCCATGGGTTCTGGATCACCGGAGCTCACTTGTCCATTAAAATCACGCTACTTTCATTCACACCTTAGAGAGTTAGTAGTTCTGCTTCGGACTTTTTGCGAGATTAAAGATGCTAGATCTATTTACAGGTGAATGTAGTAGCTAATTTTCTGGTAAAAAGGATAAGGAAAAAAGGTTAGAAGCACAGGAGTCAGGGGAGGTGAGGGGAGGCAAGAAGAATTGGCGAAACATGAGCAGAAGTGAAGAGAATGGATAACAGGAGATGAGAATAAAATGGAGGTGAATTGAATAGAAGAGAAGTGAATAGGAATAAAGAGGCACAAAGGAGGAATGGAAGGGAATAGGGGGAGAAAAGAAAGAAACTGGGGATTTTCTGATTTGTGTGTGTAGGGTTGGCTGCTCACTTGTGGGTAAGGTGGCACAGGTGGTGGTGGTTGAAAAAGGGTCAGAAATCGGTACCCCTCATGGATCCCAAAGCTTCCCGTGCGCAGACACCACAAATACTGCAAAATAACGAAACAGATCAATCCCAGGTAGCTGAACTGGATATAAGGCTTTGCGTACAACAGGCCAGATGAGTAGAACGCGGTTTTCAAAGATAGGGATTCCGTTGCGTGAAGCGGAAACTCAATCTGGCGTGAGGTATCATATGTGTTCGCGGGGTATACAGCGACGACGGATATTAAGGCTTTCCACAACAACTAATCACCTACTTCCTCTGATGTTACCAGTGGTGACATGATAATTCCAGTAGCAGATCATTGCAGTACTAGGGGCGCAAGTATGGTAGAGCGCCGCGACACGAGTGTAGAGTCCACCATGTGAATGTGTGAGCAGAGGTGTGCATGTGCGGGGCATCGGCAAGCACCGCTAGGTGCAAAGGCTTGCCCTCTTGTCCTATGTTCGTCCCTAGGTTAAATCTTTAGACAGCTAGCCAGCTTCAATAGACGGGACAGCACACCTCTCCACCCGAGTAATCTACTCCTCCTAATGTCCTGGGCAACTGCGCCAGTCCATGGCCACCACCAACCGGCCCCTATTCCCTTGACGCAATTGAGCCAACCCTGCCAGAAACTACCTTCCCCGTTACCTACAAGCTCATCTGGTGGTGGATTCAGTTGAGGAGGGTTGCCTTCCTTCGCCTGTTTAAGAGTGTCAGCTTCTATATCATGATTTAGAGCCTGACCAAAGAAAGGGCCATCTACCTACCCAGATGCTGGGAACTGCCACGTACGGAGATTTCTTATCTTATGGCAAGCCTCTGGGATTGATCCAGGCGAGCAGCGCCCACACGGCTCCAATAACTGTTTCCGCGGCGTGGGCATCGCGTAGTGGGCGCCCAGCCATGACTCCGCGGGGTAGACGCATCTCCGCAAATCGGTAAAAATATAGGCCATGAGTTTTGCGGGTATGGAGAGTGGATAGAAAAAGGGCAGGCTCCATAAGAGCTTGAGGGTTGTAAGATTTTGGTATTGTGAGAGATACCTCCGGTACGATGTCGAGGGGCTTGTTCCTCCTGATTTCAAGTCAGAGAGTAGCGATCTATCTATGCACGCCAGGGACCCACTGTAGCAGCTGCTTCACCAACGCTATCCACACAATCGGCAACCAGCCACCCCGAGGCCATCGACAAGTTTAGAGGTAAAAGTTTATTTGATAAATAGTACCGCCGGTCGGGCAGCGGCGGAGAATCAAGCCTGAGATGCCAGTCTCATACGTTATACAGTACAGCCAGCTCACCCGATGGTGACACAAAGTCACCTCTCCGGCTTTTTCACCAAACATGCGGCTCTGTAGGGTAGTTTGGCTCATACCGGTATCGCCCCCGGTTATATTGCTTAATAAGCTATGGCACACGATTGCACTGGTGGGTTCGATTGATCCTAGCATTTACATCACGTGATGTATGACAAGAGTACTCCTACGGTACTGGTGCTCGAGTGCTGCATCAAGTTCCATGAGGGCAGACGGTGGCCTTTCGGCATCGCTAGGATCAACATAAGAGGAGAGGTTCCGCGAGGACTGAATGCGAAGGGTAGGGTCAAACTAGGGCGCTGTGGCCAACTTAGGGGGTGTTTGGCCCGCCAAATCTGATTTGAAATCGTGATTTGAGATCAGATCTTGGCAACTTTAACTTGGATTATCACTTCTAATTACATACAGTTCCTAGATTAATAGTGTAAATAATCTAAGTTAAATTTGCCAAGATCTGATCTCAAATCATGATTTCAAATCAGATTTGGCGGGCCAAACACCCCCCTAGTTCGGTGCGAATGTGTATCATACTCGAGTCAAGGTTGCAATAAAAGGTGGGGCTGCATCAAAAAGGGATCGAGGGAGCTGGAACCTGTTTTTTTGAACTGGGGGAGTTCCATAACACGACCCCTTTAAAGAAATAGCCTTATGGTACTAGTTATCATACTATACGTAAATTTTACAAGTATTCGGACATTTTTAATGCCAAGGCACTCGAAAAGCACAAAGCCTTGACGCTGCTGTCCAGAAAATTTTGAAATTCACTACCGTTAGTATTTCTAGCCTCAGGCTCAATTTCGCTGCGGGGGTTGTTGCCTGAGGTGGAATCTTTGGTGGTTCGCTCGGCTTCTCAAGGGTGGAAGAATCCCCCCCCTTCTAGTCTCCAGAGCTCCGTCAGCGAAGGCCTTCTCTGCTGCTTTGACTCGGGCACTTGTAGTGGTAGAGTGGCCGGTGGTAATTGCGCTGCATCAGTCTGTTATGGTCTCCAGAAAAAGTCATCGGTGCCAAGGATTTCCACCCATTCTGCCCACCCCTGCTCGAGCACTGGTATCATCGAGTGACTCGGGGCCTACTGGTGTAGCAAAAAGATTTGCCCATGTACGGCTGAAAATTTTGGCGTGATGGTATGGAGGGTCTCCGGTGGGAATTTAGAAGGAAACAACAAGAGGCCTGGGCACACTTTCATGCCGACTGAGTCCCCGCAAATGCCCAGCCGCCCTCCGCCCGGATCCGAATTGTGTGATAGCGACTCGGGAATGAAGAAACTTGTGTACAATTAGACTGTCAACTCCAAGATTTTGTGCCGTGCGCGATGCACATCTTGAGCCTCAATGCTCGACACCCTATTGACTGGGATGATTGAAGTTCGCACCACCTAAAAGACGCCCAAAATTCCCTCTTTGATAATGGGGATAGGAGCTTTCGGTGGTCTGATTTGGGTTGCTGTAGGATATTCGCTCGCAATTTCCCGATATCGTGAGAATGCGTCAGCCTTGTGCAACCTTCGATACAATTGTCCAATTCCTATTGGGAATGCTCACAGAGGCCCCCACAGCACTTGCGCGTGCAGATGCGAGTCGGCTGGTTTTCGGGTGCTCCGCGGAGTTGTTATTGGGACAGTATAGGAGCACTGGTATTATACGGTACTCGTACTTAACACATCTTTCACCGTTTTATGGTTTATATGCTCATCTCCGGTTTTGGGGGGATGATCGGTTGCAAGGTATTGTACTAGAACTAGTATCCCTGGGCGGTGCATTCGCTTCTCCCTGAAGGGGTGGCCGCTTTGGATTGAAGCGAGAGAGAAGAGAAGGGGCGACAACCAAATCTGTGCCCCCAGAAACCCTGGCTGAGGAGTAGCCTAAATTCCCGGCTGCCGCAGAGTGCAGGAAAATGCTTTGCTATCAGGAGGCCGCTAACCTATCGTGTCACGTATCTCCAGGCACAGCCCAAAATGCGCCAAATGCTAGCCACGGTACAAGCCACAACCAGATTCTGACCAATCATCGGTCCCTGTAAATTTCCCCAACCACCCGAGGGCTATTTTTCCTGTGTCACAATACCCAGTTGTTTGCTTTTCTCAGGCTGCTCCTCAGCCTGAGTTGCTAGGGTAGAACCTTTCATTTTCTGGGCCAGAGTTTGTATTTGCCTCCCTACCCGGAGACGCCATCGCTCGAATATCTACGGAGCGTTCTTTCGCCAAATCTTTCGGCTTCACTGAGTTCCCACAGCTCGAGCAAGGATCACAACCCAAAGCGACCTCAAAACTACAGAATCATTCATCTCCATATCCAAGGTTGGGTCCTCGGCTACTCGTACTCTTTCTACGAGCATCCTTGCCTTGTTGGTTTTTTTCAGCGCTCGTGAGAGGATTTTGAACTCTGACTCCCCGATTGGCGACAAATAGGTTACTTTCGGATAGGCCAGCGACATCTTGTCACTTTCTGACGGGACCTCCGAAGGCGGCTCTCTAGGGAGCTAAATACTATAGAACTTGATGGATCGGTGGGTTCCCCTTCCCTTTAGCGATTTTGAGAATAATAAGCACCCGCCTAATAATCCTCCCAGAAAAATCCAAGCCGATATCAGTAGAGACTACAGTGGGAATTCAGGGGATCATAATGTTTTTGGAAGTAATAATAATAACCTGAGCAACGTTACCAATATCGGGCAGATAAATCAATGGTGTGTGTTTAGAGCTGGGGATAGAGGTATTATCAGCTTTCCCGACAAGTTTCCGGCAAGGATCTAATGTGCTATTACGACTAGGAGAGGCGTCTCGGCCTTACCGGATAATTCCCTATCGCCGAAACACCAAGTTCACTGGCCGCGAAGATCTCATTGAGTCAATAAGGAGGCTTTCCAAGGGCAACGGTCACCACCGGATCGCACTTCATGGGCTCGGCGGATCTGGGTATGTATTCATTATCCTTACCTGCGGTGTTTACTTACCTTCCTTAGAAAAACCCAGATTGCACTCGAATACGTTTATCAGCGCGGAAGCGGTGGCGACTGTGATATTTTTTGGGTGTAGGGGAGTGGGCTGCTGAAATTTATCGATGGTTTCAGAACTATTGCACAACACGCTCGAATCCCCCTAGTTAGCCCCGAGACGGGCAAAGAGCAATTCCTAGCGGGTATAAAAAGATGGTTCGAAGGCCCAGACAGCGGTGATTGGATACTGGTTATTGACAATGCCGACGACGAGGATGACTTTACCGGGAGTAGCGGTCCCATCTCCAAATTCATACCTCAAGGCCCTCGGGGTACTCTAATATTCACCACTAGATCCCTCAAGGTTGCGTCCTGGCAGGATTGTGAAAGGATAGGTGTCGGAAGAATGGAGGGGGAGGAAGCCCAAGCGTTGTTCTTGAAGCGCTTTTGTAGCTGGACTAGTTTGAGGGATGAAGGAAAAGAGGCTGTCACAATGACTGCTTTCATGACCGAGACCCCGACGCCGCCATCCTCTTACTGGTCCATTTTCCGGGGAAGCGACGAACAAGCGAAGAGCCCACTTTCGCAGCCATTTTATGATATTCAAAGAGATTCCGATATGACCGAAAGCATCCTAGCAACGTACTTTATCACCTTTGAACGAATCACACTCCGAATGCCCTTAGCAGCAAACCTTTTGCGCCTAATTGCCTGTTTCGATCGTCAGAATATACCGGAAGAGCTATTATCTCAAAGTGGCTTAGAAGGGGTAGATAACCGAGTTGGGTTTCGTCAGGCCATTGGAACACTATTGGGATTTTCGCTAGTTACGACTGTTAAATCTGGGGACAAAATTTTTTACGAGCTTCACCGATTGGTCCAACCGTCCTTGCAAGTGTATTTACCAACAGAAGAGTTGAATCAATGGAAGGCCACTGCACTGAAAGTGGTTTCAAAGTTGTTCCCTCAAGATGAGAACAAGTGGAGACATATTGGTCGCGCATACATTCCGCATGTACTTGCAGTAACCAAAGATTCAGCCAATTCCATTGCCGAAGAACTTTGTTTTCGCCTGGGACAGTACTTTCGAGATCTGGGTCTCTACAGTGACGGAGAAACTCAATTCCGTGGATGTATCGCACTTCGGGAAGATAGAGATTATGATTGGGGTGGGGAAGGTCAGATGAGGGTTATACTCCTGGGGGCGGTAATTGCATATCAAGGGAAGGGAGACGTGGCCGAGGGGATATTTCGGAATTTGTTAGAGGACATGGAAGGGTCATTGGGCCCGGATGATCCCATCGTCCTACATGTTATCCACTACCTGGGTGAAGTGCTACGGTACCAGGGAAAATACAACGAGTCAGAGGGGATGAACCGGCATGCAGTGGAGGGACGAGAAAAGATTCTTGGACCAGACCACCCAGATACCCTGACAAGTTTCAGCAGCCTAGCTCTTACGCTGAAAACCCAAGGAAAATACAAGGAATCAGAGACGATGAATTGGCGTGCACTTGAGGGGCGAGAGAAGATT